AAATCGTTTTGTTTTAATTTTTAATTTTTTCAAAACACGTTTAAAGTTAATTGTCCAAAGAGTTTGATTCAGAAACAAAAACATTTTCTGTTCATTATTTATCATAAACTAGTTTAAATCCAGTAAATCCGACTTATTCAAACTACTTTGGTGTTAATTAGCTTAATTATAAAACGAGTTTTTAACTTCACGTTTTGTTTTGTTTTTGTTTTTTTCTCTTCGGTTGTTTTTCTTCATGTGGTGGTTTTTATTGATTTATTTCTGATCACCTATAATCTGGTTTCTGTTCCTCTGAGCAGCAGTTTTCTGATTGAACACAATCATGTGTTTCATGTGAAGACTTCACTGAATCTGATTGATTTTATTTTATTTGACTGAATTCGTCTCCAGAGTGTTTTTCTATCAGCAGTGTTTCGTTTGAACATGTTTGAGGCAGAATGTGGTTTAATCTCACATCCAGCAGCTGAACAGACATACAGCATCTATAGATTCTATATGAGCCTGATTCCAGCTAAACATCTTAATAGTTTAATTAATTAATTTGGCTGATTCATAAATCACATCATCATGACAATAAAAGCTGTTTTAATCTCTGTGATGTCAGAAAAACCTTTAAATTCTGTTTGCTGTTTGAATATTATTTTATATTATGTGTGTTTTTATTTATTTTAAATCATCCGCTGTTGAACTGAACTCTCTTCAGTGGTTCCTCTCAGGCGATGGCGAGATTCGTCGTATTGATCATCGATTAGTGGCAAAAAAAAACACGCTGTGAAAAACACTATGACATTAAAAACCACAAGTAATAATAATAATAATAATAATAATAATAATAATAATAATAATAATAATAATAATAATGAACACAAGTTTTTAATTTAGCAAATTTTTAAATATTAAGTTGTTTAAATTCTATTTTCTTCAGTAGTTTTTGCCTTTTTGCCTGTTTTTGTTCATTCAATGACATGTGTTTGTCTGATTTTCTTTTCATTTTGAATTGCAGTTGTTTTAAATCTTGAGACAAAAACAACAAACTCGATTACAAACAACAAACAACATGGACCTGATGCAGTAATCAGAGTATTTATGTGAACTCACCCTTTAAAAATAATGTTTGAGGGTTAAAACTAAATGAATAAATTAGAACTTTTATGTTGATTTAAGTAACTGCTGGATGATCATGAACCAACCTGAAGCAGGAAACACATCTGGATGATCATTAAAGGACCACATAAACCCTCTGACTGTGTGGTTGAGGAACCTCAGCTGTTTTAAATCTGCTCTGAATGTTTGTTTGTCTGCTTTTGTTTTGCAGCTCGGCGCCGTCAGACCAACCTGCGACGCCTTTAATCCGCCTTCCAGCTGTGAGTAGCTCCTCCTGAAGTTCTTTACGTTTAGTCGGTCCTCCGTCTGAACCGAGTCAACAGTGTGACGCAGAGCTGCACAGTTTAGTTCATGAAGTTCAAAACAAGTAGTTAAAGTTTGACTTTCTGGTCTTTGGCTTGTTTAGAAGCTGCAGAACTTTAATTTCATTTAACTTTAAGATGTTTTTTCTTTTTTGGGGATTAATTGTTGGCTAACTGAAACGAGAACGCACAAAGGTACAGAAAGTTTTCCAATATGTTTGGTAGATTTGAATTAAAACCACTTAAACACATGCAGAAAACTCGAAGCAGCGTTTTACCTCCAATTCCATCAAGTCACCAGTGAATCAGGAGAATTAGAAACACTCATAAATGTCCTTAAATATAAAAATTTAAAACGTATCATTAATAGAAATTCAGATAAGATTGAAAAGGTTTACCTTCTACAGATGAATGTCTTTGACTTGAGATTTCCTTTTGCTTTTTGAAAATATAATTAAATATGAGCTCCTATTGATGCTAACTTTTTATTTTACACATTTCATTTAATGACATTTTGAGTTTTTAACGCACTGCAGCAAGTTTTCCTGTGAAATCACAATAAAATACTGCCGTAATTTATTGTATTTTTACTGTTTTACAAATGGAATTGAGATCCTCCAACTTTTTTAAAACGTTTTAAAGTTCATGTAGCACAAAAACACAAAGTATGAAGAATAAGTTGACTTAAACTCTCATGGATCAGATCACGTTGTAATGTATAAAATGTTATTTAGTAATCGAGGAAAGATGATTTAACTTCATGTAAAAATAAAAAAAGATAAAATAAATTTTAAAATCCTATTAAAAAAAAAAAAAAAGTTTAAAGAAGCTGCAACGGTGCCCAAAATATAAATATAATGGCCCAAAACTGTAAAATAAGTAAACAAATACAGAAATAAATACAGAAATATAATTTTTTTTAAAAAGGTAAATATCTGAAAAGTAACTAAATTTTTATTTTTTTGATTTGTGCACATCTTCAGCCTGTTTTAACATGTAAATTAACCAGTAAATATATTTGTGTGCATAACTTTAATAGATATTATTTGCAATTTACCAAAACAGGGAAACTCTGTAAAAAATAAGTCTAATTTTTCACAATTTTTCAACCCTTAATATCCATAATTTCTCTTTTAAAAATACATGAAGTTTCTTTATAACAATCATATTTTTTGTTGAACTAATTATGTTAAAAATGTAATTTTCAAAGTTGTAAGAGAAGAAATTTCTATTTTATATACATATACACATTATTTGGGTGTTATTTACAGTTTTTGACTGTTTTTCACAGATTTCACAAGTTAGTATCTAATTTAACAAAACAAGCAAAATCTCTTAACGTTTTTTAATCTTTAAAATACTGGATTTTTCTTTAAAATGAATGTTAATATTTGTAAAATTATGATTTTTTTTGCTGATTTAAATACAGTAAAACTAATTCTGCGATATTGCAAAATAGCAAATGACTGTTTATAAAAATACTGTCGTTATATTCAGTTTTTGACTGTTTTTTTAAAAGGTAAATCAGCACTTTTTTATGATTTTACCAGCTGTCGTCTGTAATTTAAGTAAACAGGGAAAATCTGTAAAATATATTTTTTTAGCATTTATTTTTATTAATATTTAGATTTTTTTTTTCAAATTCAAATTGCAGCAAATATCTGCCTATTGTGGTATTTTTAAAAAACGCATATTAAAAGGTAAATTTGCACTTTTTCAATGATTTTACTAGATATTAAATGCAATTTAACAGTACAGAGGAAATCTGTAAAATAACTGTAAAAATTACATTTTTTTCCTGCTTATCTCGGGGCTCCTGTGTGAAGTTCTTCATAATAATCTTAGCTGTCTGATGCCTGTGAATCTTTTTTCTTTGTTTTTTTTCTCCACTAACATCAGATTCTGCAGCTTTTAGCTGTACATTAGAGAAACAAACACTCCTGGTAGGATTAAGCTGCTTGTCTCCAGTAACCTGCAGCCTTTTCTTCTCAGTTTAAAGACCATAAAGGTTGTTGTTTGGCTTCTGAAGGAGGAAGGACTTTGTTTGAAGCATCGACTGAAGCCTGCATCAGAATACACGTGTATTTATGGATTTATTGGACAATGAGACGTCCTTGGCTGCTCGGAGTCGCTCCTATAAGGCTGCTATTGTGCTGCTGCTGCTGCTGCTGCTGCTGCTGCTGCATCCATCCAGCTAACTGTTGCTCCACCCTCTCGCAGGGCTCCAGCAGCCGCCCGTGGCCGCTGCATGGCGGACTGCTGGCGGACTGTCGCCGCGCCGCTTCCGCGTCGCTGTCCGCGGTGCTGAAAAGCTGCACGAGCGGCGAAATGGCGCAGACGGCCGGGCGAGGCTGTGATGAGGCAGAACCAAAAAAACAAAAAAGAGAAAATCTGACTTGACAGAATAAATGACAACAGTGTCGCCTTCTTTTCTATTTTTTTTTTGTGCCTCCACCTCCTGCGTAAAAAGCCGCGTGCGTCCGCTGCAACCTGAATCTGCAAAAAAAAAAAAAAAAANGACGGCCGGGCGAGGCTGTGATGAGGCAGAACCAAAAAAACAAAAAAGAGAAAATCTGACTTGACAGAATAAATGACAACAGTGTCGCCTTCTTTCCTCTGGGCAAGAATGTCCGCTCACTCCAGCAGATTTCTGCGTTTCCATCCTCAGTAAAAAGAGTAAAAAAAAAAAAAAAAAAAAGGGGCGACGTTTGACTTCAAATGCCATATTTAGGAAAAACGCTCGGTGGCTTTGAGTGACTGGGGCGCGGACGAATGGCACGTTTGTGATCCCGAAGAGACGCCCGCGTCCGACGAGCGGCGCCGCGCAGCCAATGGCGGCGCAGGAGCCTCGGTGCGCATCAGCGCTGCATGGAGCGACTCCGGGTATACTTCCGCGTCCGGATGCATGTTCATGTGTAGGTTGAATGGATGAAACGGAGGGAGTGCGGAGAGGTATAGGCGCGCTGTGATACGGCCCTATATAACCGCCGACAGGACTAGCTTCCTTTTAAAGACAACCTCCTCCGTGCGCTGGTTTCCACTCAGTGATGTCGCGTATCGGTGTGGCGCACCTGTGAAGAGCGAGACAGGCAGAAGCCGGCTTTTTTAATTATTTGATTCCTTTCATTTCTTCTGTTCCCTTTTTTTTTTTTTTTTTTTCTTGGTTCCTTTTGTTTCCATGCATTTGCTGAAAGGAAGTCATTTCTGTGTTTTGATTTAATAAATATTTCATTTCCTCATTTTATCTTGTTTGTGTTGGCTTTTTTTTATGTTTCCAAGTTTGAACTAGAGGCAGAGCGGAATCTGGTCCTTTCGCGAGCTATTGGCCAGGTGTTTCATTCAGAGGTTGTTTTTTTTTTTTTTTTCCTTGCCTAAACGGACGTCCCTAACTTTCATTTGTAGAAACGGTAAGATATTTTCTACACATTTTTTGTGTCGCTCCTTCACCTGAAACGTTTCTGGCATTCTCGTAGCCTTTGATTGCATGCACAGGACGCGATGTAGGGGGAAAGTCACCGTGATGCATTCATGTTTCCCCCTCCTCCCCACCACCTCCACCACCACCACCACCACCTCCAACTCTGGATTGCGGTGCATTTTGGCATCACAGAGAGACTTACAATAGCCTGATCTCCGCACATGTGCTCAATTTTTTTTTTCCCTTTCCGGACGCATTGTCGCTCGAGTGTGTAGAAATACAGGCCTGGAAAACGCTGCATCGGTTGTTTTACTGGGAGGAAATGTTGGATTTATGACACTCCGTTTTTGTGTGCAGATTTCCACGCTGGGTGCACGAATGGAGCGCAACTTGTGATGTGGGGATTTGGGGAAAAAAATACATATTTTAATGCAATCCTGTGAGAAAAACTGAGCATTTTTAATGCAAAATAGCTAAAAAGGGGGTTGTAGACTGTAAATATAGGTTAAGTGCAGCCTGCGTGTTGTGCTACTTGGAGTTGCTGGATGAAGTTATGCCATCAGAGGCTGATTTATGTGTATTATGTGTAAAGTGCACACCAGATCTCCTGTTTTCCTCTTATTGGCTCCTCGCATGTGTCCTAACAGTGCAGAAATCTAAAATAGATTCTTATTTATTCTAATCAAATCTTTTTTATTGGCAGCTGCTAGCTCAGCTTCAGCATCTTTTTTTATCCTTCTCCTTGTAGTCCACATGTGTGCTAGCTTTCGGCTCCAAAACAGCAGCTGCAGCGAATCAATTAGTTAGCGGCTCATTTCCGGGGTCGGGGCAGGGTCGCCGCTGATTGGCTGACGCTCTGATTAGTTTACTTAGGGTGGCCGCGTTCCCGCCACCGCCCCTTTTGTGCTGCGCAAAGACTGCGACCAAAAGTTTGACGTCCGCACACCTTTACATCAATAAATACCCCGCGACGCCGGTACAACACCTCAAGGTAAGACGCACCGCAAAGTGCGACAAAAAGGGCTAAAATTCAGGTGGAGAATTGAACGCAGGAAAAAAAAAAAAAGCAGCGGCGTTTACGTGGCCGCCGAGCCGCTCGCCGAACCTCATTGGGGAAAAAACGTATTTTGGCGCAGCTTGAAGCTGCCCGCTTTTATGCAACTTTTAACCACTTAAGTTAACCGTTGCTTTCATTTTTAGCAATTCGGTGTCGTAGCTAACACAAGAAAAAAACTGCTTCGTAATGATAATTGGACCTACAATTAGCGCGGCCGCGCTAGCTAAAACTCGGCTAAACCACCGTGAGCTAGCTTAGAGGTTCCGGCGCCGAAAAGACCAAACGCCGAAACAGGAAACGAATTTAGCTCGTTTATTCTTTAAATGGTGTCAAGTTGAACCGATTTCCAACCGTTTAGCCCCCGCTACAGCTAGCTAAGGTGTGGTAACGACTTGTTAATTTAGCACGTTGCGCAGTTTAGCCGCATTAGCGCAGGTGTGTCTGATTAGCCAATTAAACCAAACGGGCTTCTGGCCTCGTCCGCCTAATTAGGAAATGCCTTTTAACGTTCAAAACGGACTTTATTTTTACATTTTAAAACAAACTATGGGTTTAATTAACACCTATATTTCCATGTGCTGCACAAACTAGCCTGTGTACCTTCACATATTGTTATAATTGACCCTAATTATGCCCAATATTGAGGGAAAAAATCCACATTTAGTGCTACAAAGTTGGCAAAAATATTTATTTAGGCTGTCAATTTGTGCAGAGAAAGGGCAGGTTGTTGTTCATTTCTGTGCACGAAATGCTGTCATGTATAGAAAAAAGGCGTGTTTGTACTTTTTTGTGTGGTATGTGGCCTCTAATATTTACTGATATCTGTACTTAAAGATGGTACTGCTGGTTAATTTGCCCCAAAAAAAACAGGACATGTGTGGTTGATGCTGATGGTTTAAATGTGTCAGACAATTCTTAGATCTCTGGTAGTTTCCACATAACAGACCAGACATGCTGGAGCATCTGATTTAGTCGGTATCTTGAATTTCACTTGGTTGCTGGTGATGTAGTGATTGTTTTCTCCAATTAATATCTGTAATGTTGAGGTTGGTATGAAGTGTCCCTGCAGGTCTGATCGCCGGTGTGTCACGCATATCTGCTGCTTTGAGGCGTTTTCTTTTTTTTCCCCATCCTCCCTCTCTGTTCATGCAGCGTCCACGATTCCAGCAACCTCTGTGAAGGACAGGAGATAAGAGCGGTTGTCTTTATGTATTATTGAGCCCACCCCTCCACCCCCACGTTTTGCCTTTCTAAATAAAGGCTGCTGACAGAGTGACTAAAACGCAGGACAGTGAGTGAACTTCCAAAGGCCACACATCGCCGCCGTGCCTCGGTACAGCAGCGATGTGTGCCGCCGCCAGAACTGGGTTAGTGTACAGTGGAGTGGGTGGCTTTAGAAGATAGAGAGAGAGAGGGAGGGGGGGGAAAAAAGCAATTTTGCCCCCTTTGTCCTTCTTAAATGTCCATCCCATCCCCCTTTCTTCTCCTGGTAGCCTCGCCTTGCGCTCCCCCCCTGGTGCAGCTGAGCCGGTCTGGGCTCAGGACTGTTCCCATTCGGCCCTCGTGGCCCTGCCTCTGCATGCGGGGGTCATGGCTGGAGGCCGGCAACGCGCCGCCCTTGAACCCTGTCCCTGCGTTAGATCGCCACGTCTTCATGCTCTGTGTAGGTGTTGATTTGTGTGGCTTCGTTGTGTAGTTGTGTGACGTGACGCAGGGCCGGTGTACGTCTCAACAACGCTGCAGGCGTTTGTTTCTTGGATATGCTAAAACAAACATTTTTCAAGTGAGAAATTCACAATTTGGTGTCCGAGACCCCCTCACGCTGAAATAATCCAAAAGCTGAGACCTTTTTTTGTTTTTTAAAGATTTAAAAAATAGCTTCTTTATCCTAACTTTCTCATCGTGCTTGCTTGCGGTTTTCAGCAGGTTCAGCTTTAACTTCACACTTTTCCGCAATAATGGCCCACACACTGCTTTTTTTTTCTTCCTTTAAATATAATAGCAGATAAGAACAGTGTCTGGTAATTATTTACCGCTATGCTACTGTAGGTTTCACTCCCAATCTCCTTTTCTAAGTGTTACTTTTACAGTTTCACAGTTGGTATGTGCTCAGAATCCAGCGCTAACCTGCTCCTGTATATTTATCTATATTTAATATGGCAAACCAGCTGCAATGTTTTTGCTTGCAACACTGACAACTGCTTTTAAAAAGAAAATTAAAACCAGATGAGTAAATGTGAATAATCACGTTGGTGCTTGGTTCAGCACCAGCATCAGGCCAGAGAGAGAGAGAATCAGAAAGCGCCTCTGGTCAGGATTTCAGAACATGTCAATATTGATGAACATGAGTTGCCGTCTCTTGAGCAATTCAGCTGAATTTGATTTGAGGCTGTAGTAGTACTTTTTTTCCCAGAGATTTCTACCATTTTTTTTTTTCTCCACAAGTGTTGGTGAGGGATCGTGCACCTCTACTTTGGAGGCAGGCTGCCAATTATAACTGAGAGTTGCATCACTTTTCCCAGTATTATTCTGACATGCTCTGGCTGGCTTTGGGTGCTCTCAACCCTTCCCCGCTGTAGCTCTGCACCACCGGGACAACTTTCATCCGACGGGGTCCGCCTCTACGTGGATGTACAGCTTTTTGTTTTTGTGTTAATCTACAGCTGACATGTTGGAAAGACTGCAGAGCAACACAGGCCGACACGTGATGGAAATTAAACGTGCAAAAGTGCTTTCACATCAGCAAAATTAAGCTTTTTTTTTTTTTTATTCCCCAAGAACTCAGTTGTCAGATTGCGGTACGTCACAGCGGCGAGATCTGCCACGTTGGAGAAGTATTTAGGGCACAGCTGCATATGAAAATGTTTAAGCAACGTTTGCACCCCGAATAAAGAGGGCCTAGACTTAATTTTTGTATGTTTTTCGTGCCAGTGTGTGCGTGCATGCTAGTCACATCTGTGCTCCTCAGCTCGGGGTATTTTGAACCGTTACTTGTGGGCTTTTAGTTTTCAAGGACAGGTTGTGCATGTCAGCGTGCGCACTCCGGAGTTCTCTCTTCCACTCTCGCAGCTTGTCACGCATACTTGGTCAATTTAATCCTCCGAGGAGCCGGTAGCAGAGATTCGTGCCTCCTCCTCCTCCTCCTCCTCCTCGCTTTAAGTGCTCAGTGTCACATCAGTACGCGCTGATCTCGCTTTTTGGCTTCAGGTTCGACTTAAAGAAGCCGGTCGGACGTGCAAATTGGCTGAATTTGAAAAACGTCAAAGCGTCGTTCTGCTGCTTTTTTTTCCCCCCCTCGCTGGCGTTGGAAAAGGCCCATACAGTGAAGTTACAGGAAGGAAAAGATAAACCGCAGTACGTGTCGTTGTTTAGCGTTCAATTAAGGGCTGTTAATTGACACTGAAGTGGCTTTTCAGAGTAAGATAGCGCGTGTGACGTAACAGTTGGGCCCTTAGTGGGAGGCTGCGTTCGTCATAAAGCGTAAACAGGATCAGCTGTTCACGTTTTAGGGTTCATCTGTGACTTGTTTTGTGTTTAAAGTGGCAGAAATTTGAGCAAAAATTTAAAAAAAGCTTGTCTCAAGTTGTGTAACAGTGCAAATTCTCTTTACAGTGATGAATTAATCAGTCTTTTCTCATTCTAAGTCGTCTTTTTGTTTAGTTTCTTTACTTTTACCCAACATATATATTAAAGTATAGTTTTTTTTAATGTGTGTTTTGTGGTGTGCAAACACTCCAGTCTCCCTTGAGGGCTTCAACACGGTAACCTGTAAAGTTGGAAGCACAAAATTCATCCTCCGAGAATAACCCAAATGATTAATCAATCATAAAAATAGCTTCGGACTCGCGTTCTCTCCGATTAGCCGCTCGACTGGTTCTGTTCCGCGGCGCGCCACCGGGGTCGCCATCGATTCCGTATCGGCCCAGGTTTTT